CTTACTTTCTCGAACTATATTTGAATTTCCCGCTTTTTGGCCCAAAGGCGGTGCCTATTTCTTATCTATGTTACCTACGCTGCTTATACATTGCTTAAATGGGAAAAGTGGGGGGAACTAGCAGTCCATACTTATATAGTCAAAGATATAAGCATTATGGATACATGTCACGCATGCGCTTTTGAACAAACTGAACAGTGATAAAGAGTAATAAAGGGTGCTTTCCAACTACGTACACAGGCGACACTGTGTAACACTGTGTCCATTAGTGTAAGAAAGAGCATATCAGTGTGTCTCACTCACACTAATGGACACTGTGTTACACAGTGTCGCCTGTGTACGTAGTTGGAAAGCACCCAAAGAGAGTAGAGCATTGTCTGCACCGTAGTGTTGGGACCGCGCTGAGAGCTCAACTAGCCATATAGAAGTATTACATATATGGTCCATGCAGAAATTCAGTTGTGTGCGTGTGCGTGTGTGTGTGGAAAACATAACTCAGAAAGTACTTAATGAAAATAAACTTTATTATAGTGTTTTGGAAAACTCTTAAATTAAATTATAAGAATTGTATTGGGTGCCGCGGAAAGTTCGTATCGTTTTCTCAAGAAATGTCGTTCACTTAGCAACAAAAGTATGAAGCGCAGCAATTGCAGCCAACTTCAGCATAGTTTTGAAAAGGTGTGACTTTCCTTGACATTCGAAAACAAAAATTATTAAAGTTAGACGTATTTTGTTTACGCTATTTGTGTTTAAACATGGAAGGAAATAAGTTGCATTTTCGGCATATTTTTTTCGGCTTTTTTTACCGGAAAGGATTAAAGGCGGCGGAGGCCGAACGTGAGATATGTGCTGTGTACGGAGACAATGCCTTAAGCGAATCAGTATGCCGGAAATGGTTTGCCCGCTTCCGTTCGGGAAATTTCGATCTTAAAGATGCACCTCGCTCCGGACGGCCATCCGAAATTGATAACAACAAAATCAAAGCGCTAAGTGAAAATGATCGACATTTGACGGCAGAGGAGATCGCAGAGAGGACTAATAGCAGTGCTACACAAGTAAGAATCCATCTAAAAGCGATGGACTACGTACCCAGCAAACAATTTCTGACTGCGCAGACTTTGGCAACAGAAACTGTGTGCAGAATCGCTACAGTACGGAAACATGCTTTGGTGCTGCCAAAACTGTTAGCACATAGAGACAAAAAACGCAACAACTCTGTTGGCACATACATGAGACTACCCAGACGGCACAATGATGTATTTAAGGTGTCTTGAAGATATCTCACGGAAGAACACTTCGTCTTTAGATGCAACCCACGAATCGACGCATTTTTGGCAATCTTCGTAAGAAGTGAACTTTTGCTCAGACAGGCTATGAGCCATCAAACGAAACAAATGGTAATCAGAAGAAGCAACATCAGAGAATACGGCGGGTAGGGTAAGACTTCCCATTTAAGTGTTTCCAGGTATGTTTCCGGTTTTGCGACGTGCGGACGAGCATTGTCGTGCAGCAAAATGACTTTGTCATGTCTTTTGGAGTATTCCGGCCGTTTTTCTTTCAATGCACGGCTCAAGCGCATCAATTGTAGTTGGTAGCAATCCCCAGTAATGGTTTCATTTGTGGTTTCAGCAGTTCATAATAAATCACACTTCTCTGATCCCACCAAATACAATGCAGGAGCTTAGACCCATGGATATTCGGCTTTGCCATTGATATTGATGGTTGGTCGGGCTTAACCCATGACTTTCTGCGCTTTGGATTGTCGTAATGGATCCATTTTTCATCACCGGTGACAATTCGATGCAAAAAACCTTTCTTTTCTCCCGTTAAAGCAGTAGTTTACACGTCAAAAAACGCCTCTCAATGTTCCTTGGTTTCAATTTATATAGGACCCAATGTCCTTTCTTCTAGATCATGTCCAAACTTTTAAGACGTTTCCTTACCGTTGATAAGTCAACTCCCAATGATGTAGACAATTCTTGAAGTGTTTGACATGAGTCTTCATTGAGCAATGCCTCCATATCATTATCATCAAATTTTTTCGGCTCGCCAGGTCGCTCCTTGTCATCCAAGTTGAAATCACCAGCTTTAAAACGTGCAAACCACTTCCGACACGTTTGCTCAGCTAAAGCATGTTCGCCATACATTTCCACTAAAATACGATGAGCTTCAGCAGCACTTTTGTTCATATTAAAGTAATGAAGTAAAACTTCCCGCAAAAACACTTTATACGGTACAAATTTTGACATATCCAATAAACTATAAAGTGTTGTTATTTACGATTCAAAAAAAGGTTATGTAAAGCAAATGACGTCCAATGGTAGCTGTTTCACGATAAATACATTACTGTATATAACAACAAAATACTGTACTACCTACGCCATCTCTTGTAAAACGCTACGAATTAATTCTAACACCTAATATTTTTAAAAATTAATATTTTAAAAAATATATTTAATATTAGCAAATTTGCAATTATTTGTTTCAAGTATAATAATCATGTTTGGTTTATAAAACGTTCCAGTAACTTTTACCTATGAAAA